CCTAGATTTTCCATTAATTTCCCCAGATTTTTTAAAAATTTCCCCCAGATTTTCCAAATTTTTTGAAATTTTCTGAAAATTTCCCCAAATTTTCCAAAATCGTCCAATAAATTTCAAAAAAATTGAAAAAATTTCCAGAAATTTTCCGAAAATTTCCCAAAAATTCCCCAAAATTTTTCCAAAAATTTTCCAAAAAATTTCCAGAAATTTTCCGAAAATTTCCCAAAAATTCCCCAAAATTTTTCCAAAAATTTTCCAAAAAATTTCAGAAATTTTCCAAAAATTTTCCTAAATTTTCCCCCAAAAATTTAGAAATTTTTCAGAAATTTTCAAAAAATTCCAAAAAATTTGGAAAATCTGGGGAAATTTTTAAAAAATCTGGGGAAATTTTTAAAAAAATCTGGGGAAATTTCTGAAAAATCTAGGAAATTTTTTGGAAAATATGGTGAAATTTTGGAAAAATCGGGAAATTTCTGAAAAATCTCGGGAAATTTTCCAAATTTTCCAAACCTAACCTAACCTTACCGACTCACCCACCCCAAACCTAACCTAACTTAACCTAACCTGACCCACACCCGCTCCCCACCCTCAAACCTAACCTAACCAAAGCAAACGTAACCTAACCTTACCCGCCCCTACCACCCCCAAACCTAACCTTACCCGCCCCCCCACCCCCAAACCTAACCTAACCCACCCTCCCCCCACCCCAAACCTAACCACAAACCTGATCCACCCCTGGGAAATTTCTGAAAAATCTGGGAAATTTTCCAAACCTAACCTAACCCACCCGAAACCTAACCTAACCTAAACTGACCCACCCCGCCCCCACCCCAAACCTAACCTAACCTGTGAGATTTTCCAATAATTTTCCGAAAATTTTCCAAAAATTTTCCTAAATTTTCTCAAATTTTTTAGAAAATTTTAAAAAAATTCCAATTTTTTTTAAAATCTGGGGAAATTTTTGTAAAATCAGGGGAAATTTCTGAAAAATCTAGGGGAATTTTTGTAAAATCTGGGGAAATATTTGTAAAATCTAGGGAAATTTTTTGAATTTTCAAAAATTTTGGAAATTTTCAGAAAAATTTTGGAAAATGGAAATTTTTATCAAAGAAGGGGAATTTTTCACAGAAAATGGGAATTTTTATCAAAGAAAACGGGATATTGATCATAGAAATAGGAAAATTTTAATCAAATAATGTTGGAAATGTGATAAATGGGAATGATTTATTAAAGAAAATGGGAAATTTTATCAAAGAAAATGGGAAACTGTTTACAGAAAATGGGAATTTTAGAAAAATAAATTAAATGGACATTTTTGGGAAAAAAATTTAAATTTTTCGGAAAAGTTTTAAATTTGGGGAAAATGTTTGAAAGTGGGGATTTCTATCAAAGAAAACGGGATATTGATCATAGAAAACAGGAATTTATAATCAAGTAATGTTGGAAATTTGATCTTAAAATGGGAATTTTATGAAAGAAAATGGGAAATTTGATCAAAGAAAACGGGAAATTTTTCAGAGAAAATGGGAATTTTAGAAAAATCAATTAATGGACATTAAAAAAAGAAAAAATTTGATTTTTTGGGAAAAGTTTTGAAATTTGGGGAAAATGTTTGAAAGTGGGGATTTCTATCAAAGAAAACAGGAAATTTGACCATAGAAAATAAAATATTTTATCAAAGAAAATGGGATATATACAGTATTACCCCGCTTAACGCGGTTTCACTTAACGCAATTTCGCATATACGCATATAAGAACATAAGAACATAAGAAAATAAGGAGTCTGCAATAGGCCGGTTGGCCTGCGCATGGCAGCTCCTGTCGAGAGTTACTACCACTCCCTATTATCCATGAATCTATCTAGCCTCCTTTTGAAACTTTCCAGAGTTCCAGCACTTACTACAAAGTTGTTAAGCTTGTTCCACTCGTCCACCACCCTATTTGTGAACCAGTTTCTTCCTATCTCCCTCCTAAACCTAAACTTATCCAACTTGAATCCGTTGCTCCGAGTCCTATCCTGCTCGGATATTATAAGAACTTTATCTATATCCCCTTTATTGTCGGTCTGGCAAGGTGCCTTTTAAATGACCAAACGTGTAAACCAAATCCGCGTAAATCGAGACTATACTGTATTGGAAAGATTGGTGAAGTGGACTGAAGAATAATAATCAGATTAGAAATGATACAAAGTATATCTGGTCCACATTTTATTGGCTCAAACAAACATCATCTTTCTCTTATCTAAACTATATTACAGTCATCATGATAGAAAACAACACACAGAACACTTACACAATTACTCAACCATTCATGAGTCTCAAATGAGTAAAAAGACCCAAATATTAAATACGAACCTCACAGATTTCACAAGGCTCATACTCTTTGTCATAACCGGGATGGTGAAACCCATCCTCATTATTATTATTATTATTATTATTATGATACAGTTTGCACGACCCCAGAATATGAGCACCGACCATGAAGTCAAAAAAGTTTCGTATCTGATACTCATGTCACTAATGTACAAGATTTGGCACAAATGTTTTTAAAAATTGCACAAAGTGGGAGTGTGACTAGAAAATAGAACATTTGTAACATCAGCGAGAGTGATCTAGGTGTTGCTAAAGACTGTTGACTGGTGGGAGTACAAAAATTAAATATATGCCAAGACCCACAATCACTGATTGTTTGACATGTTATACTAAGAGAGCTGCCTATTTAGTATGCCTTTGATATCAAGTAATATATTAATTACCAAAAGTTTGGGTAATAGATAAAGTAAGAAGTTGAACAAGAGGCAAAAGACAAAGTAGATAAAAAAGATAATTTTTTTTCTATTTCACATTTTGGACGAAATATACAATATTTTGTCAGCGGCGTTTTATATCTTTACAGGCCAATGCTCTATTGAAAGTTGCATTCTCCTGAAGTGTATTTTTCTTAATACAAGAATTACCACATTAAGGAACATTGCTTTTAATATACATTATTCACATGGAGTACTCTATATAATTACGCATGACTAGTTTCGTCCAATATGTCGACTTGAACCTTGCATATGTCCATTGTACAGGGTGTATACAGAGTACCTTGGCGTTTGGAGTTACAGAACCCCTCGAGGAAGTTACACATCCACAACATGGGTGTAATCCATCAATTTGTGCACATCTATTCTTCACTATGGTGCAATCTTTACAATATTGCTTGTAGGTACAGCTAACATAATGAAGACTCCAGTTATGTGTCGAAAATTGAGTATTATGTATACTGTCTTGGATGTATAACTCCCTGAAGGGCCTCTACATACACACACATAAGGGACTCCATAAACAAACTGTAGACAAAATGGTAGAACTCTTATGTGCGGTAATGATTATCTATGCTGAATTTAAATGCATTTTATTTATACTTTATAAAATATCAATTAACGCTGTAGTCATTTGTAGATACAGTACCTATGAAGGAGAAAATTCATAATGAAGCTCTAAAATTCAGAAGTGCAAAATTTATATTCCTAGATGAATACTTTATAAATACAAATACTTTGATGTCATAGTGTATGGTACTAAAAAAAATAGAGATATTGGAGTGATGCTGCCAAAAATGTCTCGACAGATAATGAGGATGAAAAATAAGAATCGAGTGTTTATGCATGATCATTCAGTCACTTTTGTTATATATGACCATATGTAACAAAATATTTAGAAACTATCACTCACTTGAAATACAAAATTGTTGTACACTGGATATCTCATTAGAATTATTTGACCAGGAGATAGATGGACTGTGATATGTCTCCACATGTCCATATACTGTACTGCTGTTGCCCTGATAATGCTTAGTGCTTATGGAACTCTTAAAACCAGTGCTTAAAAGTGCTAATTAAAATTTTTTTATGTCAGGTTTTACCACCTACCAGATTGTGTTTTAAATACAGTACTGTAGAGTACCTGCAGTGTGGTTGACCAAGGAGCACCTCATGGGGCACCTCTGAATAATTATTGGTTAACTGATAAAGGCAAAGCAATTTTATGATCAAGAATGCTCAGTAAAGTTTTAACTCAATTTTAAAAAGGAGTGATATTTTCACTTGTGATTGAAAAGTTGAAGCAGAGAATTATGAGGATAAAGCTGCAGTTTACTTCCCCGTTTTTAAACCTAAAAATTATGTTCTAGCTGATTGACTTTTAAACTACAGTATGAAGTGCATAACATGGGGATTTTTTTTGTAAATTAACATTTATGATACTCAGATTCCATGAAACATTGTCTTAATCTTTCCATAACAATGTCAACAAATTAACAAGCTTTCTTTTTATGTCATGTGTTCATTAAGATGTATGGACAGAAATATATCACAAAATCTGATATATCTATGGCCATAAAAATATTTCCTTATGGGTCACTCTATATATGGCCATAAAAATATTTCCTTATGGGTCACTCTACATGTCATGTAAAGTCACGTATCAATTCAAAGAGAAAAAGATGAGCTACTTTTCAATACAGTATCAACATAATTGACTAGAATGATTTCTGTCAAGTGCTCTTGATGAAGTTATTAACATTCATCACCAAACTGACAAAATATACATGCAAAAATGTGTGACGCAGTGCTCCTGGCTCCCACAATATGTTTGTGCGCAGAGTACTCAAGGCATACACATTCATGTGTAGATATAAAATGCACTTTTTCTGTACATTATATAACAGTATATTATCCATAGGTGGACATTAATTGCAAAACTATGCATAGTAACCATGTAAGACCCGAGTCCCGATACAGGATACGGTGCATACATCATGGGGTGTGGGGAAAAACACCTATATCTCAGGGGAAGGAAAAAAGTAACCTCAACAACTGAAAATTTATGAATTTAGTTAATAATTGCAGATAGAATTTTAAAATCAGCGAGTCAAGTGCAGTCTCGAACTCTTCCACGTTGAACACCCAACCAGACGACCAGAGAGCTGACAATCTGGTAACTGTGTGTGTGTGTGTGTGTGTGTGTGTGTGTGTGTGTGTGTGTGTGTGTGTGTGTGTCGCAGGGGTGGAGAGGAGGGGGAGGGGGGATAAGATGGGGGAGTACTTGAGTTCCATATTGCATAATATAGTCTTATATTATTTAGCACACAAAAGAGTGATGGAAGTGGAAAAGGTGATTATGGTATAGGAATATGTATTTACAGCAGCATTACGTTGTTTGATTTATTGGGGTGTAATTGGTTATCTCTTATCTAAGTCTCCAAAGCCAGAGAAACACGTAACCTTTACCTTCCTGCATACTGCTACCATTCCTCGGGTAAAGACAGTATGGGAAAACAGGTGCCAGTCAATGATTGATGTCGACCAATTTCGTAGTTATAATTATTTTCCAAATCCGACATACTGTATAACTTTAAGCTGATACATATTTTTAGGTGATTCAACTGCTCTTATATGTGCAAACAAAGACAAAAAACGTGTTGCGGTTTTGTCCGAAGATTAAATATAACTCGTGAAAAATTATGAGAGCCCCCTACCACAAGGTAGAGCGCACCAAAAGTTTAGCCCTTCGGCATGATTATGTTTTTACCATATGCTGTCGTAAGTCACGTTTCGACCTAGCCTCACACCTGGTAAACCAAAGTGACCTCTTTACATTTATTGCTTTAATATGGTGAGTCTAGTGGTATGGTGCTACAAAAGATACTGACAAGTAGTTGCCAATGACGTGTAAGTGCGTAATGCCTTTATCAATTAAGAACGTGGTAAAGAATTTACCTCAGAGAAAACAAGCCTTTTCCAGTAGTCCAGTGCCAAATGCTGACAAACCAAGACGAGTCTGATGGCACGGTGTTCCTCTGTCAATGATTTCTGATGCCCAATTCCAACCTCATATCACCACTTATTAGGACAGCCTTTGTGAACCAAAAATCTAGCCACCTCTCATGAGCTTCGCTTTCACTAGGTCATCTCTCATACTTCTGAGTGAAAAAATTTAATAATATTTTTTATACCTAATTTTCTCATTAATAATAAGTGACTTTTATTTTCCATTATGATAACAATCACTACTTGTTTCATTTCACGTAATACAACTTCCCATACTTTTTTATTGCAATACTTTTATCCTCTAAAAATAAGTCTTATAAGAATGGGTATTATAACTAAATATTTGGTTAGCATCAACCATTGACTGGCACCTGTTCTCCCACACTATTCTTATTAAGAATTGGTGTGGAAAGGTTAAGATCGCGTGTTTCTCTGGCCATTCAGTGCAAAAAATCAACACTGTAATACTACTGGAAAAATGTATTCCTAAATTTAATAATCCCTTCTAGTACTTCCATTACTTTGTAAAGTATAAAATAAAATATGATCATATTACACAACTCAAGAACTCACCCCTCTCCCTCCCACACTCACAGTTACCAGATCGTCAGCCGATTCTACCGCTCTGGTTGTCTGGCTGGGTGTTCAACGTGGAAGACTCTGCGACTGTACATGTTGAGGGTTCACAGGTGAGTTTTAAAAAAGATCTTGGTCAAGTAAAGGTTAATTAATGATCATCAAAACATAATGTACTAAAATATTGTTTTTTTTACAGTGAGTGACCGTTGACTTCTTTGAAATCAATTAAAAATAATTATAACATTAATCATCAGTTTCAGAGATAACAAATCCATGTACTGTACAGAATACCTCTTTATCCACAGAACAAAATAAATAAGGGTAACTGATTAGGGCGTGAAAGTTCATTTTGAAATTTCAATACAATTTACACAGTTCTCGTCACATCCTGGCCTATTGAATCTTGTTATGAACAACCCTCAGCACTAACCTATGGCAGTATTCTAAACTAAAAAATATCTTACCAAACTTAAACAACAAGTCCATAATATTGTCTTTGTTAAGAAAAATACACCAAGCATATTTTTTGCTATCCTGGTCTATATATATGACTATCTCTTGTATTGCTGATTGATGTGATAACACTGGAAACTTTGAGCCTTAAATATAAGTTTAAAAAGCTATTTCATTTCTTGACTGTTTGATTGAGTGCTGAAAATCCCTTTGCAAAGTATCCGAGTAAGCCATTTCTATGTGAGGGTCTTTGATTGACTCGTTCCTTCTGACAATATCACATTTTTACTATACAAAGCAGATCAACCTCAAGTGATGTCCCTGTTCAATCAATCTTCCAGTAAGTGATGTCCTTCTCAACCCATTAAGTGATGCCCTTGTTCAACCACTCTTACAGTAAGTGATGTCCTTGTTCAACCACTCTTACAATAAGTGATGTCCTTGCTCAACCACTCTTCCAGTTAGCAGCCTCAGTGGCATAAAATTTGAAGTCACTTTCAAGTTATATTGAAGACTCAAAACCTTCTGACTAGACCACATCCCAGTTCTCCCTGCTTCTAGGAAAACACCAATCAGCCCACTTTGATCCATCTGTCAATGGAGTATTCTAAGGCTGCCAACCATCTGCAAAAGGTAATGTAAATTAATTTAAATTACCAAATAGTCAAATACTTTAGGGCTATGTCCCATGTGCGAGCGTCTTGCCGAATCCAGGCGAGTCCTCACATTCTACACCAAAACTAAATAAAGCTACACATCAATTTTCCACTGTTAACAGCATGATCTTGCCAAGAAATAGATCCTTGTGGACTATTAAAGTAGCTGGAAAATGTTTCTCTCACATTGTTTGTAGAAGAATGTGAAGCATTGTTTATTTCAGAGGGTGCTGTGTTATCCTGGCATGTGAAAATCTGGAATCAAATTTCTTTTTTCTTTGTTTCAACAAATATACAGAGTGAGTAGGCCTCGTCCCTAATCAGAATACAGTACATTCTGATGTACTCGTGAAACTTCTTAGGACTTTGTTGAAGTTCCTTATGGAGATGGTGAAATTCGCCTACATCCATCCTCCTCTGATATATGGGATGATTTTTCCCTGGGTACCTCTGCAGGTACCACACGTTGAAAAGCATTATTCTTTAAAAGTACCAGCAAACATTTGAGCTGCGTAGACACAGTTTGCTTTGGAAAGTAGGTCGCGCCTGTACGCCCTTGCCTCTCGATGCTGCAGGATGCTCGCACTTGAGACATAGCCAAATGGAAATATGATTGTATAATTCAGAGGTGAATGATAGAAGAGGGAGAAGTCCAAGATGGAGGTGGAAGTATAGAGTGAAGAACACACTAAAAATGAAGGGGAGGGACAATGGTGAACTACCTAGTGATATACATGTTGAACCTCTTCAATCCAACAACCATGGTATCTAAATACAGCTAGATCTTAGAATTGTACAGTTCATGGAAGCTATTAGGCAAAGATTATTAAGGGAACCAGAATACAGTTCTCATGCATTCTACATACAACCTTCTCTTTAAGTGTAGAAACTGTCCGCATGCCGTCAATAAAGGCAACAGCTCCCTAAACTTCTTCTAGCCACTTCTGACTCTTGCAATGATCATGTCATCCCGGTTGCAGAACTAATCGACAACCCAGGGATATATCCCAAAGTTGGGCTTTTACAGCCTTGCTAAGGACACATGATTACTTGTACAGATAGCATACTAAAAGCCCATTACATCGTGCAGTCTGCCATTTATATCACTGCACATTATGAATTACTGCCAACAACCTTCTTACAGAGAGCATATGGCCATTTTCCACTAACAATAACAGGTTCTCCAACCACAACAGTAATCATTGCTTTTGTTTTTGCCACGTTCACTCTCCTACCCTTTAGTTTCATTCCTTCCTTCCATTTCTTAAATTTTCCCACTATCTCTTCAATACTATCTGCTATTTGCCAGCACACAACAACTCCGATGAACACGTTAAAACCAACGAAATACTGCCTTAGAGGACGAGATGGAACCAAACATATTAAAGACATCACAGAGTAGAGGAATGACCCTGAAACTTGTTGAGTGACCAGATTTACTTCAACAGGTAAGTGTTGAGACTTCTCATCCAGCTTAGCAAATGAAAAGTCAATAATGGCCTAACAGAAAAGAATAACCAGTGTGCATAATATCTATGAAGTGTATTTGCCTTATAGTTCAAGCATACTGTGGTTAAATCTTCATTCAGCAGAATATCTGCTATTCTGGACCATCCTATGCTATAACTACTGTACTTCAATAAAATGATGTATATAAATGTACTGCAGTGATGCATGATGGTCAGATGTCACCTTGGGGTTTTAATGTCTCACACCCCCACACCTTTGCTTACTTGCACAAATCAATATTTTTAAATATCAAGAATTTTGTGCTGATAAGACTATAGGACACTTTTTCCCAGCTGAGAAGAGATGGCCCGCCCCCTCCTCAAGAGTTACAGCTGATTGGCTGTTGCAAATCTGTTCGATTTCGTCCTGAAGTAATAATGTATTTCTAAACGAGTTTATTCATAATCATTGGGATGACAATTTCTGATGAGAAAGATATTTAGCAAAATTATATAAAGATACATACATTCATTACTTCAAACATGAGCACGTAGGAAGTTTATCAGAAATCTTGTTCATGAATTAACTGTTAAACTCTGGTAGCATATTCACACTTTCAGAGGATGCATTTAATGTACTGTATACTAATTTTACCCACAATAAGGCATACTAAGACAAATTACGCCTCAGTAAGATAACACACACACACCCTTGATCACCGAAGGGTCAAGACGTACCTGGCGCTGCTCCGACAGCAGCCAGGTCAACTGTTATGTTGGCCCATACTAACTCCCTCTCCTGAACCCTCCTCCCCACCGGAATATCAACAAGTTCTCGCCAGAAGATACTATTTCATTTAGGAAAGGGATGGAACCAGTGTTGAATAGTGGTGAACAGTACTTAAGTCAGTGAAAAACAACTCAACAGTAACAGCTGAGTCATACCCAAGCTAACCTTCACACAGTAAGGTCCCAGGTACCCAATGATAACTGCCTGTGAGACTCAACAACACCAGCTATGTGTTAATCAGTCCACAATAGGGAGGCCTGGGACCACACCTCACTCACTTGAGTGAGGTCCTGTGACACCTCCCCATGATGCTACGACACCACGTAGTGAATGAGTTGCTACAGCATCATGTTAGGTTCCTCATGCCATCTGTGAGGGAATTACAGTACTACACCATGTGAGGCCCCTCATAACACCATCTGTGAGGGAATTACAGTACTACACCATGTGAGGCCCCTCATAACACCATCTGTGAGGGAATTACTGCACTACATCAGGCCCCTCATAACACCATCTGTGAGGGAATTACTACACCACATCGGGCCCCTCATAACACCATCTGTGAGGGAATTACTACACCACATCAGGCCCCTCATAACACCATCTGTGAGGGAATTACTACACCACATCGGGCCCCTCATATCACCATCTGTGAGGGAATTACTACACCACATCAGGCCCCTCATAACACCATCTGTGAGGGAATTACAGTACTACACCATGTGAGGACCTTCATAACACAATCTGTGAGGGAATTACTACACCACATCAGGCCCCTCATAACACCATCTGTGAGGGAATTACAGTACTGCACCATGTGAGGCCCTTCATAACACAATCTGTGAGGGAATTACTACACCACATCAGGCCCCTCATAACACCATCTGTGAGGGAATTACAGTACTGCACCATGTGAGGCCCTTCATAACACAATCTGTGAGGGAATTACTACACCACATCAGGCCCCTCATAGCACCATCTGTGAGGGAATTACAGTACTACACCATGTGAGGCCCTTCATAACACAATCTGTGAGGGAATTACTACACCACATCAGGCCCCTCATAGCACCATCTGTGAGGGAATTACAGTACTACACCATGTGAGTCCCCTCATAACACCATCTGTGAGGGAGTTACTACACTACGTGTTTCCCGTTCAACACCTCAGCGCACAAGATCTTCTACGTGACCTCCACTGTAAACATTAATCTGTATGTTCCTTTACCTTTCTCTAATGAAGGCTTTTGTTAAACCACCAATGTATGTAATGTGTCATTTATGTCCAATGTATATTTTCAGCCTTCAGAACTTTTCAATAAATAACACACATACAAACACAAACACACACACACACACACACACACACACACACACAAACAAACACACACACACACACCTTTTTTTGTAATTTTACAATATTTAAAAAACAGACAGGTACACAATACAAGCTTCAACTCAAAAACTACCTATAATCAGCTCACCTCTTTTTGTCACTGTCAGATTCTGTGTAAAAGTAGAAGTGTCGAAATTTGGGTTCTGGTGGCAGGAGTTCGAAGGCATGTTTTTTCCCACCTATGCTGGTACTCTGTACTCTGTACCCATGGAGGTGAACCACTCCTGGGGGGGGGGGGTGAAGGTCAGTTATGAGAAAATGGGGAGCACCGAGGTAAATACAGTATGATCATCTCTGGGGTAATACTGTACATGTATAAAGGATTACCGAGATAAAGCGAGGATAACCAAGATGAACATGGAGATGACCCACATGAATATGAGGATAATTAAGAAGATAAATTCATTGAGGGACTGAATCAGGAGTTCAAAAACAAAATAATCCACATCACTGGAAATAACATCAAGTTTAAAACTATGATAAATGAACCAAAATGCAATTATGTCAAGAATGAGCATAAAATCTCTTAATCAAATTGGCTATCAATGTAGTATATTTATAGGCAATTAACATCTTGTTCCATTAAGTTAATGTATTTATCAGGTGATGCAGTGTTGAGAATGATGTCACATTTTCTTATCATTGGATATGTAGTGGTGGATATGTAGTGGCTGTGGTGGATATGTGGCGGCCGTGGTGGATATGTGGCGGCCGTGGTGGATATGTGGCGGCCGTGGTGGATATGTGGCGGCCGTGGTGGATATGTGGCGGCCGTGGTGGATATGTGGCGGCCGTGGTGGATATGTGGCGGCCGTGGTGGATATGTACTGGCTGTGGTGGATATGTGGCGGCCGTGGTGGATATGTGGCGGCCGTGGTGGATATGTGGCGGCCGTGGTGGATATGTGGCGGCCGTGGTGGATATGTGGCGGCCGTGGTGGATATGTGGCGGCCGTGGTGGATATGTGGCGGCCGTGGTGGATATGTACTTTTTACTTTTATCCTCTTCGCCACTGATCGGCTAGTTAGCCACTTGGAGAGTCGGCCACATCTCTTATGCACTGTTGGCAAGAACTGGGTGTGAACTGACTCCTGAATGTATCTGAAGCTGCTCCAGCATTGGTCAAGTCTAGCCTTGAAACAGCTCACACTCGGTGCCGTCAACACACACTGGCAGAATTTTCAAAGAGTATCCAATTCTCACTCTGAAAAAGTTTGCTCTCAAAGTTTTCTGGACTTGTGGCTTCTTCAACCTTGAGATGTGACCCCTTGTGGGGTAGACGTCCGCCAGCTTTAGGTTTGTATATTCGACCGAGTAGTGTCCTCTAAAATGTTTATACACTTTGATTAGTATGCCCCTCACCCGTCTGTAGTATATAAGCTAGGAAGTTGCAAACGCTCCAATCTTTCTGGCTAACTGAGGTTCTGTAGAGCAGGCAACAGAATGGTGACCCTCCTTTAGACATTTTTTAATCACTTGACAGTCTCTAGCATACCTTGGAGACCAGATGGGGTGACAATACTCCAGACGGGAAAGCACCTCACTCTTGAAGATCGTGATGAGTGACAGACCATCCAGATATCTAAGACCTACTAGTTTTGTTGCCTGATTCACCTTCTCACAATGGCCCGAGAACTTAAGTTCATTGTCGACATTGTCTCTTCGTCCCGTTCGGATATATAATACACCTCCTAACTATTGGTGTGACCCAGGTGCATCCTTTTGCACTTTGTGACATTGAATCTTAGCAGCCATTTTCTCAACCATTCTTGAAGCTCAAAGAGAGTCTTTCTGCAACTCTTCACAGTCTGTTTGGTTCTTAATTTCCCTAAATAACTTAGCATCATCCACTAACATTTGTATGGAGGAGTGTATAACTTCTGGCATGTACCCCGCTAATCAAAGGTACGCATGACAATTTCATACCACTTATCACCACACACTGTTTGTGGTCATGCAGAAAGTTTCTGATCCACCCTAGGACACTTCCCCAAATCCCGTACCCTTCCAATTTGATTTTCAGCTTTTCATGGGGTACAGTCAAAAACCTTGGCAAAATCTAGGTATATATTGTCGATATTTCTGCCTTGTTCTAGAATTTTAGTCCAAACATCTAATACCTTTAGTAAGTGTGTTAGGGTAATGCTGGCAGTAAACCCCCCTCCCCCCCCCACCGCGGGGTTAAATCGAGAAAAAAATCTACTTTTCCACAAAAGGGGGGGGGGGGGGAAATAGGCGGAGTCACCCAGGGACCGCTAGTCCACCTGTGGTGGATATGTGTAGCTATGGTGGACAGGTGTAGCTGTGGACATACCTGTATGTAGCTGTGGTACATATGTATACGGTAATTAAAGTGGACATGTGTTGCTGTGGAGAACATGTGTTGCTGTGGAGGACATGTGTGGAGGACTGAATAACTGTGACACATACCTATAGCTTGTGTGGCATCAGTATCATGGTAGAGGTAAAGGCAGGCATCCTTCAAGACGCAGTACCTTCTCTTCCACTGGTGCCACCTTGCTCCTAGCTTGTGCAAGAACCCAAAACAATCGGGAGATGTTATGGATGCAGGGGCTTGTTGGACACGACGGGAAGAGATCTCCATCAGTTCATCCCTCTGGAATATAAAGGAAGGTAATAATTTATGAAAATATACATTAAGAATTGTTATTAACTTTACAGTGTTTGTAAAGTGAACTCAAGGAGGGTAAGTTCCCCCTTAATACAGTATTATCAAGTGAGGTTTAACAGTTACACTACAGTACATATATTTTTCCAAAAGAAAACAGAAATACAGGGTATTCTGTACTCATTTTGAGAAATTAGTGCAGAACATACCATATAATGTCAGATGATTGAGTTTTACTCTCTAATTCTACAGTATATGAGCAGAAAAAAATATTGAGCCAAGAATTTGACAGCCGTTCCAAAACACTAGGTTTGATATTCTACTAAGACACTTCTCATACAGTGGTCCCTCGGTTAACGAGATTTCGGTTAACGAGTTACCTTCCATAAGATTCTTAACTTCGGTTAACGAGCAATCCCTCGATTAACGAGTTTCTTACAAGCCGACCTCAACATGTTTTCGCTTGCATTTGGCGGTCCACCAGCTGTAGTATTAGTCCGCCAATACAGTAATCGGTTCTAGGGCTTATATTCCTTATCATTTTAGTAAATATCAAGAAGTTTATACTATTCAATAATTTTAAGTTTAATATTAAATTTTTGAGTCATTTTAACAATTATTGAACATAATTGAAGGTAAGGAAACTAGTTTTATACGCGCCATCCAGCCTGTCAACACACCAAACAGGTGCCAGTCTCTGTCTTTTCAGTGGAGGTAACACCTTGCTTGAAACTCTCTTCAACTAAATGCTTTTTTTCTGTTTCCAAGCAAATTATTGGTCATTTTGAAATTTATTTTACATATTGACAATATATAATGCAGTGCAGCATTGATTTAAAGAAAATAATCTTGAATTACACCAAGAGAACTAAAATTCTATGGGTGAAATGGCACCATGGGGTGACTTCTCTTCCACCCCAATGCCTTCTCTTCTCCCTTCTCCTCCACCCCCATTCTAATTCCCATCATCATCCATGAGCCTTCTACATACACACCTCAAAGTAAGTGTACTTTTCTACCTCTTTTGTTGAATTTAGGCAATTTTCGGTGAGCTGGAACCAATTACCCAAAAACCCATTGAAACAATGGTTTCGGTTAACGAGCAACCTTCTAGAACGGATTGTGCTCGTTAACCGAGGGACCACTGTACAGTAATTTGTGTTAAAGATATTGCGTGATCTGACTTATGGATTAAAGTCTACTAGTTGTTATATGTACAAATTTTGTAATACAGTATTGTACTGTACTATTAATAAGTATAATTGGTGCACCTTGTTTTTTATTTTGTAACTCATTGTAGGATCTTCATCTAGTCTAGTAATTTTTGTATTCCTAGGAATTCAGAGTATCAACAGTTTTGTCTTAAAAAAGTTCTTTACTTTCAAAACTAAATTACTGCATTAACTGAAATACAAGTACAGTACATGTTTATTACACTGTAACAACATTTTTGGCAACTGCAGTTGGTGTACCAAAATCAGTGTGTGGTGCCTGTAGTGACTGTAAACTGTTGTAGTGACACAGCATTATTTGTATGATGACTTGTATTGAGATGAAGTACTGTACAGTACTGACATATGTTGTGAAGTGACAGAAATGTACTGACCAGTGTAACTGTAATCTATACTGAAATAGTTACCCGACCCACTTGTGTTATGGCATAACTGACCTGAGCAGCCTCGGCTGCTGCCTGTGTGATGACCTGACCCCAGCGGTTACGTGCCTCCTCTGTATGTGCTGCGAGGTGCAGGGTCATCCCTCCAAACTTTGCCACAGTGAAGGAGAAAGGTTTGCCCATGTCAGCCAAGGCATGAACACTATAGTCCAAGAGGTGCACAGCACCCAATGGGTGTTGTTCCTGTGAATATGGAGAGTAGAATTTAACTACACAACGTACGAAAGAAAAATGCTGCTATTTTATAATAATATAATAATGAGCAAAGTGTAACCAAAATAACCATACAGTATTTGCTTTTGTGTGTATATATATATATATATATATATATATATATATATATATATATATATATATATATATATATATATATATATATATATATATATATATATATATATATATATATATATATTACTATACAGGTGCTCCCCAACTTACGACGGGGTTAGGGACCCAAATCCAGGTCGTAAGTCGGAATGGTCGTAAGTCTGACATAGATAAAACAAATTTTCAAAAAAAATTAAATAAATAAAAAATAAATAAATAAAAAAAACTATAATGAAATACAGTACAGTAAAAGTAATAAATAATGAGGAATTAATACAGTACAGCAAAAGTAATAAATAATGAGGAATGGATACAGTGTGACTGAGCGCTTACCTTTAATGTAGGTCAGCTGAATGCACACGGGGTCCCCATAATTTTCTAATGATACATGGAGACTACATTAACTGGAAGAAGCAGAGGAGGAGACAGGGCTGGGTGGGTCATCAATGTCGCTTTCTTCAGACAGGTTTATGTACTGTGGAAACTTGCTGGTTGAAGGTATTGGATCATCTTGAGGGAGTGAAGAGGCAACACTGGTGGTGCGTGAGGAGACAGCACTGGGGGACTTCTTAAAATAGATGTCCAATTTAGACTGAACAGTTTGTTTTTTCTTTTCATTATAAATTTCTCTGTAGCAAGCAAGTGCATCTAGGATCATTCTGTCAACTTTGGCATAACGCTCATAATTTTGATCCATGCCATCAAACATTTGCATTCCTTTATTAATTGTAGCAAATGCCTCTGCCATTTGCTTCACTGAAAACTTTTTGGGGGGTGCAGGTCCTTCTTCTACATTTAGACTGGCTTCTTCCTCTGCATCTTTTTGAGCTTCCAGTTCGATGAGATCTTCATTACTGAGCTCTTCTGCTACACTTTCAACCAACTGTTCAACATCTTCATTATCAATTTCTAACTCCAGCTGTTTACCTAACTCCACTATCTTGTTACTAATATCCGAAATAACTTTATTTTTATTAAATCCTCTAAAACTGTTCACCTATCTTTTCAGGACTTTCTTCCATATTCCATTCATGCAATGTTTTGTAACCTGATCCCATGCTGCACTAAAGTTCTTTATACATGACAAAACGTTGTACTCATTCCAAAACTTGGAGCGTTTTCTCACCTTCAGTAGCAGCAACAGCCTGAGCGAAGGTCGTGCGTAAATAATACGCTTTAAAGGCAGCAATAGCAGCCTGAGCGAAGGGTTGGATGACAGAGGTAGTGTTAGGTGGAATGTACACTACCTTAACATCAGGGTGCATGTCGTCCAGGTGTGGTGGGTGTCCCAGAGCATTATCCAAAATCAGCAATATCTTGAATGGAATTCGTTGTTGCAGACAATACTCCTTGGCTCGTGGAATGAAACAAGTCATGAACCAATCCTCAAACAGTGCTAAGGTCATCCATGCTTTCTTATTACTGCCATAAAACACTGGCAGTGCATGCTTGCTGACATGTTTAAAAGCCCTGGGGTTCTCTGAATGATAGATCATGAAGGGCGTTAGCTTGAAACCAGCAACATTTCCCCCCAACAAAAGTGTAATTCTGTCCTTGAATGCCTTGAATCCTGGCATTGTTTTCGCCTCTTTGTGGACGTATGTCCGCTCAGGCATGCGCTTCCACAATAATCCAGTGTCATCCACAATGAATATTTGCTCAGGCAAATAATTCCCTTCCACAATCACATGACCTAACTACTCCTTAAAAGTTTCGGCAGCACCAACATCAGCACTAGCTGCCTCTCCACCCACCTTAACATTGTGTAGACTGTAGCGTTTTTTAAATCTATTAAACCAACCATGACTTACTGTAAAGGTTTGCTCACATTCATCTCCTGCCTGCTCCTTCAGGCTTTGGAACAGGCTTCTTGCTTTAGCCTGTAAGGGTACACGCTTCCGTATCTGGTCTTCTATCCATATCACCAATAATTCTTCCATATCGTGAATAGGTCCTCGTCTTTTCCTCGAAATCATAGTTCCCTTTATAGATGTTGTTCCTTTCACTACATCACGAATACATTCCTTGTCCTTCAGAATAGTGGATATGGTAGAGTGCGAGAAACCTAGGTCACGTGAGATTGTTGCTACAGTTTTTCCATTCTCATACTGCATTATTATCTTCATTTTCATCTCAAAAGTAATTGCCTGTCTCCTTTTCTTTGGAGCACCACCAGCACTCTCACTTGTAAGCTTTTCAGTCATTATAAAGTCAATTAAATACAATAATAACGTAAGTTCACAGCGCTATCAGTATAGGATACGATAGCCAAACACCAACTCAGCGCTGTACTGAGTGAGTGTAACCACGCGGTGACCCAAGCCACGCCACGCTCTCGACAGAAACGTTTCGGTATAGAAAATGCGCGCGTCATTTGAAAAAAAATTTGGTCAGGACTGCGGTGGTCGTATGTCCCGACGGTCGTAAGGTCAGAGCAGGTCGTAAGTGCGGATTGACGTAAGTTGAGTCAGCCGTAAGTCGGGGACTACCTGTATATATATACAGTAATACCTCGGTTTACCCGGTTCTCGTTTACGTGTTTGGTCATTTACACGGTACCTTGCCAGAACCGGGATGCCCGATTTATGCTGTGAATTAACTCATTTAAGCAGGTGAAGTATAATTTGTTTATTTACTGAAGATATTTGTTTTAGCTCATAAAATTCATAAAAATTACCCAGCCAGAATATAATTTGCATTGCTGGAATTCTTGTAGGATTGTGATTATTTTGGATATAAACATGGAATTTGCATTAGACATACAAATTTTAGATCTAATGTAAGAATTTTGATTACAAAGAGCCAACATTTTATCTTTTGTGCAAAATATATGACGTTTATCAAAATATTCCTGGTCTTGCGGGGAATCCAGCAATGTCTATTATATTATCCTAACTTTAGTCTGAGGTATTATTTATTACAAAAAATGTAAATATGCTGTTTTAACTCAAACATTTCTCTGGTAGGGAGGAAAGGTGGGGGGTGGTGGGTGGAGGGAGGGACCCAGCGAGCGTGGGAAGAAGGGGGGGGGAGCCGGAGGTGGGGTATTTTGATTGACAGATAGTGTCTGGGTGAAGTATAATTTGTTTATTTACTGAAGATATTTGTTTTAGCTCATAAAATTCATAAAATTACCCAGACAGAATATAATTTACATTGCTGGAATTCTTATAAGATAGTGATTATTTTGAATATAAACATCATGGAATTCGCATTGGACATAAAAATTTTCGATCTAATGTAAGAATTTTGATTACAGAGCCAAAATTTTATCTTTTGTGCAAAATATATGACGTTTATATTAAAAATATTCCTGGTCTTGCAAGGAGTCCAGCAATGTCAATTATATTATCCCAACTTTAGTCTGAGGTATTATTTATTACTATATACCTTAAAATCTAGTGTTTTCACCCAAACATTTCTCAGAGAGGGAGGAGCCAGTGAATATTCCTCCTGCGGGCCCACCCCTCGTTTAACGAACGCCTCGGTTAACGAAATTTCGGTTAACGAACTGCCTTCCATAAGGATCTTCAATTCGGTTAACGAATTTCTTACGAACCGACCTCAACATGTTTTCGCTTGCACTGACCGGGCAACCAGCTTTAGTATCAGTCCACCAATACATTAATCGGTTCTAGGGCTTAAATTCCTTACTAATTTAGTAAATATCAAGAAGTTTATACTATTCAATAATTTTAAAAGTTTAACATTCAATTTTTTAGTCATTTTAACAATTATTGAACATAATTGAAGGTAAAGTGACTAGTTTAATGCGCGGCATCCAGCCTCTTAACACAGCAAACAGGAGTTAGTCTCTCTCTGTTTTCACTGGAGGTAACATCTTGCTTGAGACTCTCTTCAACTAAACGCTTTTTTTCTGTGTTTCCAAGAAAATTATTGGTAATTTTGAAATATATTTTACATATTGACAATATATAAGGCACTGCAGTGTTGATTTAAAGAAAATAATCTTGAAATACACCAAGAGAACTAAAATTTTATGGGTGAAATGGTGCCATGGGGTGACTTCTCTTCTTCCTTCTCCTCCACCCCCATTCTAATTCCCATCATCATCATCATCATCCAGGAGCCTTCTACATACACACCTCAAAGTAAGTGAACTTTTCTACCATTTTTGTTGAATTTAGGCAATTTTCGGTGAGCTGGAACCAATTACCCAAAAACCCATTGAAACAATGGTTTCGGTTAACAACTTTTCGGTTAACGAACGACCTTCTGGAAGGGATTGAGTTCATTAACGAGGGGTTACTGCATATATATATATATATATATATATATATATATATATATATATATATATATATATATATATACATATATATATACATATACATATACATATACACATACACATATATGTATACATATATACATACATACATATATACACACACATATATATATATATATATATATATATATATATATATATATATATATATATATATATTTATATATATATATATTTATATATATATACATATATATATGTATATATATATATATATTTTTTTTTTCAGAAACATCACTGAGAATAAATTACTACAAATAAAGATTTCAAACTAACCATTTCCGACTTGTAATAATAGAGGCAGTGATCTTTCTTGAGGGCAAACCACCGTCTGTGCCATTTTCTGATGATGGTGGAGGAGCCAGGGGTGTGGTGAGCACCTCCTAGCTTGTACAGGTAGCCAGCACATAGAGGGGTAGGGTCGTGAGTCACAAGGGGCGTCAACACATCACAGGTTCGTGCCACCTCTAGCCGTAGAGTATCACAACCTGGAAAAAAGAGGGGGAAGACTTAGGTGCATATCACTCTCCATCATTAAGGGGTTTTAATGAAACATAAAGGATTTTAGGATGGCTAAAGGATTTGGTATTTAATTTAAGGTGGATATTGGGATGGATGAAAGTTCTGTATCTTAAATTGGATATTAGGATGGATAGAGGTTTTGTATACAGTTTATCTAAAGACAGAAAAAGGATTTTGTACTGTATTTACCTCAAGGTGGTACTACATTACTGTACAATACTTCATGTGGTTTTATGGCTGGTTAGTAATTACTGTACAGCACTTCTCATATTCTGTAGTCCTCATAAAGTTATTACAGTACAAAACTTCTTACTCTACCAGTAGACCTCCTTTAACATAAGCACTAAATCCCTATTCAGTCCTAAAACTACCTTGATGTCCTTTCGTTAACTCAAACTGAAAGGGGACTTAAGAAGCTTTGTTCACTTTCAGCAAACAAGAGCTTTGGTCACTATCAGAAATAAATAGCTTTGGTTTGTCAATAATCAATAGCTTTGGTCACTCAGTAATCAATAGCTTTGGTCAGTCAGCAATCAATAGCTTTGGTCAATCAGTAACCAATAGCTTTGGTCACTGTCAACAATCAATAGCTTTGGTCGCTGTCAACAATCAATAGCTTTGGTCGCTGTCAACAATCAATAGCTTTGGTCGCTGTCAACAATCAATAGCTTTGGTCGCTGTCAACAATCAATAGCTTTGGTCGCTGTCAACAACCAATAGCTTTGGTCGCTGTCAGCAATCAATAGCTTTGGTCGCTGTCAGCAATCAATAGCTTTGGTCGCTGTCAGCAATCAATAGCTTTGGTCGCTGTCAGCAATCAATAGCTTTGGTCGCTGTCAGCAATCAATAGCTTTGGTCGCTGTCAACAATCAATAGCTTTGGTCGCTGTCAACAATCAATAGCTTTGGTCGCTGTCAACAACCAATAGCTTTGGTAGCTGTCAACAATCAATAGCTTTGGTCACTGCCAGCAATCAATACACAAAGAATTTCATTTTTATCATGGGGAAAAATTATAATAATTATTTGCATCATTTATTCAGCTCTCCGCGTAAAAGAGTACATGCACAGCGTAAAGTGAACATTCCAGGTCTGGCAAGGTACCACGTAAAAATGGAAATGCTAGACCCCAACTTACGACTGCTTGGACTTACGACCGTCGGGACTTACGACCGCCGCAGTTGTGACCATTTTTTTTCAATTTTTTTTTTCAAATGACGCACGCATTTTCTATACCGAAACGTTTCCAGTTAATGTAGTCTCCATGTATAATTAGAAAATTATGGGGGCCCCATGTGCATTCAGCTGACTACATTAAAGGTAAGTGCTCAGTCACACTGTATCCATTCCTCATTATTTATTACTTTCACTGTACTGTATCCATTCCTCATTATTTTTTACTTTTACTGTACAGTACTGTATTTCATTGTAGATTTTTTATTAAAAAAAAAATTCATTTTTTTTTATCTATGTCGGACTTACGACCATTCGGACTTACGACCTGGATTTGGGTCCCTAACCCCGTCGTAAGTCAGGGTCTAGCTGTATATATATATATATATATATATATATATATATATATATATATATATATATATATATATATATATATATATATATATATATATATGCTGTCAATAAATACGATGTATTTCTTTGTGTATGAACCTCTGTCCTGCGTGGCAGAGAGAAGCAGTGGCGGCTCGTGAAAAATAAAATGGAGGGACTGCAAGCCTCACACCGAGTCCCCACCAAACAATAAGCATGGAATTTCAGAACAGTACAAGCAGGAACAAAGAATATACACGCCAGTTTAACATCAGTGTTTATCAGAAATGTGAATGGCTCTGTGGTTGTGACGTGGCAAATACTTTATTCTGCTTTCCATGCTTATTGTTTGGTGGGGACTCGGTGTGAGGCTTGCAGTCCCTCCATTTTATTTTTCACGAGCCGCCACTGGTGAGAAGTGTCAAGACCTGACTGAATTACTCGGAATAGGCAAACTGTACTCCAGGATTTGTCAATAAATTTGTTAAACTAAAAAAAATCTCTCAGCTCACCCATTCCTCTAACTCTACTCCTCTTCCTTCAACTCTCCAGTTCTCTCACCTCCTCCCAAGTAGTCTGCTCCCTTTGCCTCCTCTAACTCCCTAGTCTTCTCACCACCTCCTCTTACTTGCTCCATTGAACTCTATACTCCTCGTTTGTCCCACCACTTCCCTACTCTTCATTCCTCTCACCTCCTCTTCCTCCCTCAAACTCTCTACCCCTCGCCTCTCCCTCCAAACAGGGAGGTACTACCGCCTTGGGAAGATATTGAAAGCATAATGTATTGTCTAATGGTAGACCCTGCTGCCATATGGCATCACGAAAATTGTGACCAAGTCCCAGGTTGCTGATCTGACTTTCTGCCTCATTTACACACAATTGCAGGGACTCAATTGTTTCTCTTAATAGTGACAACACAACATACATCTATTGTTTCTCACTTTTGATTTTTTTTTTCATTTTGTATTTCTTTATTATTATTATTATTACATTTTCGCCCCCTAGGCCCCGATGTGGGATAATTCCCGTACAAAAAAAAAAAATCCTCAGACCACCCTGCCCACTCACCAACATGTGCTAGCCTCACCACCTCAGAGTGAGAGGCATCCAGGACATTAGCACCATTGATGTTGATGATGATGTCGCCCACCTCCAGGCCAGACGTCTCGGCTGGGGTGTCAGGTTCAATGGCCGACACCACCACCGGCCGGGAACCATGAATCCGGAACCCAAATTCACCCGACTCCCGACTTACAGTAACCGTCTTGTCCGACTCTGCGGAAGGAAAAGAAGATTAATTTTGACATTATTTTAAGGTGATGAAACTTCTTGGCTTGTTGAAAAAATTATGATACAGTATTAATAAATCTAACCACGTTATGGTAATTTTACTGACTTATACAAACTTCCTTGTGTTTAAATAATATCGGTTTCAATTTAATGAAGAAAAAAGACATTAAAAGATTACAAAAATAAATAGATCAAACCGAAAAAAATACAAATTAATATAGTAGGAAAACCTATTAAAATCTCGGGGAAATATTATATTATAGACTAGAATTAGACAGATTGAGTAAAGGCAAAACATAATCATTAAACCCATATACAGGTGCTCCTCTACTTACCAACGCGTTACATTCCTCAGGCTTGTTTGTAAGTCCAATTGTTTGTAAGTCCAACTTTACTCTTGTAGATACCAAACAAATTGCAAAAAATTAAAAGATTGTGGATATTTAGTACAGCTATACCCTTTAATACAGCCTAAAAACCTGGTTCACTCTTCTCCTCTTAGGTAATATTTGTTCTATCTGGAATTTTTTTCAAAATAATCCAGTCTCATCCACATTAAACACCTGTTCTGGCTGGTAACTTTCCTCAGTGATGATGTTTGTATCTCTGAAAGTTTTTAAGTTGAACGTTCTTAAGTAGAGGAGCACCTGTACTGTATAAAGCATGCAACAAACAATCACATTAGCACTTATCAAGGAAAGGAATTAAGAGTTAGTGAACGTTGCTTTAAGACCTTAGACATTAGTGACTAAATTCATTATAAAAACAACAATGAGAAAAAATAAAATGATTCCTTGGACAATTATAAACTAGCTAAGCAAGGAGAGAGAGAGAGAGCAAACACAAAAACAAACACAAACAGCCTCTTTCTCCCGGTTGCACTGCGCACATCATTGTCATCCTTGAACAACTCTTTTATTCATATTACGCTACATAACATTCAAACCCACCGCGCTTGTAGAGCCTCAGAAAACGGGAAACGTTGGTAAAGGATAACTCACCCACTGTATGTGTTATACGAATTGCACCAAGGTACGGTCATATAATATTAAGTGTATGTACTCATAGCATTAAGGAGAACTCAAGGTATCTATAGGATGATTGGGAAGGTCCAATTGATATGGACTAGTGTACTATAAGGGATAAGGGTAGATCGTGTTTGAAGGTCATACTATTTACGTCTGTGAACGATTAGTGAACATAGCTACCGCAGGTATCAGATGAAAATATAAGTGAACAATGATCTGGAAAAAGGATATATGTATCAGACCTATATGAAGTGTTGGAAGTGATCCAGAAACTATACTTCAAAGAAAATATCTTGTATGCCTCGGTGTGAGCTTAATACACCTCGTTATCTCATGTGACGAATAACCACAAACAATGCAATGATCAGAAAATCTTATGAAGGTGTTCAACGACTGCAACACGTGAGGGGAGGATCCCTAAATACAGATTGAAGTGAAGTGGATATACCCACGCCATGAAAATACGGTACTAAGCCTTGTTCGAGGCTGGCGCCCATTCCGCCCCGGGCTACAGTTTTGAGTTAATGATATTGGCCAATTAATTTCCCCAGGAACTGGCAAACCAGACTCTTACTTTAGTATGTAATTTAGGATTAAAATATATAATTATAAGGCATAAGGTCACAATAAATAGGAAAGTACATGTGAGAACCTGAATAATATCAAAGTGAAAAATAAAGATTGGAAACTGTAAGAGTAGGTCAGTGAGAGACGCGGGGTGCTGTCATCAGTAACACCAAAACAGGTCAGTGAACTCCATCGTGCTCCATTCAGCCCTAAAAAGACTTATCAAGCAGTTTTTACATCTTAAAACCTTGCCTGATGTTATAAAGGAAGTAATAGTTGTACTAGTGTGTAGTGATAAAAGCCCATCAGGCATTACTCTCGGTAACACCGCGTCTCTCACCAAAACAGGTACCATGCGTTCAGAGCGTCGACCATTACCACACTGTGAGGGACTCGCCATGTGTGGTGTGACTGCTTACGGCCATTATGCCCCTCCACTGTGAATCTGTGGATACCCTACTTATCACCACCCAGGATAGAAAATAATTGTATGTTAGAGAAGATTCGCGGTCGCTACGTGGAGCGATCTGAGAATACCAGACGTGGAACCAGTACTGGTATGATTACCTGGGAAGTATCCCATCTACTCCGCAGGAGTAGAGTGTGAACGAGGTACATGGTACGTGTACCTAAGAGTACCGAGGAGTTCCATACTTGTAGGTGTGGAGTGTACCCGGGATGTGGTGCTATGATATAACATGTGGTGCTGTAATGTAACATGTGCTGCTACACTCTAACAGGTGGTAGAGTCGGATGTGTTTGTTGTAATGGTAAGAAAGAATGACCGAGGTAAGGAGGTCATTGATTGTTATGAAGAATGAAGAGGATAGTAGTAGTAGTTATTTTTATTTAAGACGTACTTTGATGTGAAGTGGAATGAACATAACAGTGGTCCTCCTAATGAAGGCCAACTCTTTATGAATTGTGACTGGATGCAATATATTTTATAAGGAATAAATTAGTTAAGTCATGCTTGATGTTTCACCTTTCTTCCCACCCTCGATTTGGTCAATGAAAAACCCAACCCAATGCCTAGCTCACTCTGCCCACTACCTAAAGAGCTACATACTGTCCAGGGGGGTCTGGTGGCAGCAACCTTAAAATTAAGAATAGTTAAGTTATCCCCTTTACGGTAACTTTAGGAAGGTAAGGTTGAACTTTCTAACAGGGAGATGGGTCCGCATGTGTAGTGTTGTGGTAGCCAGCAAGTCACAGGGTCAAGGACTGGTACACAAACACACATCTGAACTGCTGGTGTAATAGCCCCTAATCCACTGCATTCCATTTCACCAGTCTTAATTACCTCTTGAGTATGATGTGATCACTGAGTACAATGAATTAGCCTACTGTGTAAGATTTTACTTAATCCCTTGAGTGCAATACTAACATTATACTGTAAGTCATCATATTTGTATGTATATTATGTATGCTGTATGTATATTATGTATGCTGTATGTATATTATGTATGCTGTATGTATATTATGTATGTGCTCCATTTACATACACTATTTATTCAGCCTAGCTAGCAGCGTGTGGCAATGTATTTACCATGTCCCACACGCTTAATTAATGTGCCTGGCGACATATGGAAGCTGCTAATGTATCACTTACCACATGTCGCCAGAAAGGCTAGTTGACCCCCCAGACAGAGTAAGGAGCGCCACCTCGCTTGTGTATCTCTGTTTATCCAGGAAATAGAACCTACGAAAACTCTACAGGTGTTTGTATGCACTTTTTCATTAGAAACGTGCCATTTTGATGCAGGGGTGGATCCAGGAAAATAAAAAAGAAGTTGTGGGTGGGGGACCATGGCGAGCACAGCAAGCCCACCCATCTGGGGGTTAGGGGAGTGGCTCTGTAGGAAGGATCCCCCCCATTTTTTTAAAGCTGACCAATATCATGGGCATCTTCAGGCCGTTTTGAAGCCACATGCACTTTATATTAGCGATATTCTGAGGTCAATAGTAACTATTTTTTACTTAATAAAAATGGCTGAGCACGATACTGCATTAAAGAATAGGTATTAGAATTTTCTGGTGAAAAGGGGAGGACTGGACCCCCAACCCCCTGGAGCTGCCCCTGCTGATGGTCTCATGGTAGTTGCTATTCATTACACACGGCACAAACAGAAGACCATAACTCCACCGGGAGCATTTATTATCACGCCATCATCCAGTCGGCAGTCCTCAGTTATGGCCACCCGGTGCACCTCTCACTTCACCGAGGGTATTATCGGGTCTCTATAGTTTGGGTAACTGTTCATTCGCTCGTTTGGGACGAGCTGTGTGCACTTTTCCGAGCCCCCGCGCCTACGTCTCGTGTGTGGGGGATCAGCCCACCACACAAAGATGTGTAAATTCATATTAAAACAAGTGATCCAATCTTTTAGTAAAATAGTGAGTGAAGCAGTTCTATACATTCCCGCCGCCGGTGGTGGACGATAAGATGTCAGTTAGGTTGCATCTTTGACTATTTATTATAATATTTCTTTGTGGTATTTCGTGCATTAGAAGCTTTCATTGCGCCTTTCAATTTGTTACATCATATTTATTTTATGTAATACGGATTCACGTGTTGTCATAATGATGAAGTGCATAATTTTCATCTGTATTAAGAAGGACATTCTTCCCTGAGAACTTCAATAACCTGCCATCTTCACCAGGAGAGAGCGAGACAGAGAGAACATAAGAACATAAGAATGGAGGAAACTGCAGCGGGCCTATTGGCCCATACTGGGCAGTCCCGTTTACACCCGACCCCTATTGCTCATATGAGCATCCAACCTATGTTTGAAGCAATTCAGCGTATTCGAGTTAATGATGATATTTGGTAACTTGTTCCATTCATCCACTACTGTTTCCAAACCAGTGTTTACCTATTTCAATCCTAAATCTAAATCTGGTTGGATAGTTTGAGTACCTTTGTAATGTCCCCTTTGTTTAGCCCTGACTCCCACTTATACACCTCTATCAGGTCGCCCCTCGCTCTACGTCTCTCAAGGGAGTGCAAATTAAGATGCTTTAACCTGTCTCTATACTCAAGGTTCCTAATGCCCGGGATTAGTCTTGTCATTCTCCTCTGAATTCTTTCCAAGGATTCTATATCCATTCTGTAATACGGTGACCAGAACTGAACTGCGTAATCCAGGTGTGGTCTCACAAGAGCAGATACAGTTTTAGGATGACCTCGCTAGTCTTGTAACTAACACGCTAGTCTTGTAATTAACACAAAAGTCAATGAAAGAGGTGAGGAATCATTTGTTTGTTCTTATTTTTTTTTCACTTTTACATTCAGAACGGAATGTGAGAGGAAATGTGCATAACATCCTCAGGTAAGGGACAATATAACCAAGAATACTCACAGGTGTGTGTAGTTCAGGATCCCAACAC